AGCGAAAACTTAAGTGGAATCTTGTAAAGGACCATGTAATCTGACTATTGTCTACTATATAAAGGCTCCCCATCAGGGAGACCTGACACACTATTTCTGCGTGACGACTAGTATATTACCTATAAAACGAATTATTTATTTTAGGTTAGAAATTGACTGAACTAGCTACATTAACAAGTATAATATAATTATTATAATTTTTTTTAATTCTTTTATTTGAAATTAAGGTATCGAGTATACTGCAGGGTTAGTACCTACATCAGGCTGCTACTGTAGGGAATGGTACTGTTGGTTTGAACACGTGTGTGTATGTGTGGCAAAGCTGTGTCACTAAAAATGTCGAGGGTCACCCATCCGTGAACTAGTTCAACAATTTCTGTTATCAATCCCATCACCATATTTGTGTGAACGTGGATTTAATGCTATATCAACATTGCTAACTAAAAAGAGAAATCGGCTGCGTCTTACTTATGGCTGTTTTTAAGTAAATTCGAGCCTATTACTAACAAACTCGTTAAAGAGCATCAGGTTCATCCTTCAAATTACATAATTTTTAATTTAATTTAAATAAAAATTCATTTAAATATGTTGTAGATTATTAATAATTAATATTTTAACTTTAATAAAAATAATTTTAATTATGATCAACAAAGCGTATGAATTATATTTGCGTATTACTCTAATTTAAAATATAAGTTTGTACTCAGATACAAGATATGACATGATTAAATATATATTGCAAGCAAATATGGAGGTCTATGAAAAATATTTGATTCTAAATAAGAACCTATGGTCTAAGTCTCGTCTTGGAGTTGACCAGCACGGTAATACGCAAATGTGTTTAGCTAAGCCGGTTTCGCAGCCACCCAAGCTACGTCATCGTCACTGTCGTCGCGCTGTACTATGGTGGTCTCTGTGTGACTGTGATAGGAATATTATAGTTGTCACTGAGCATACGAATAACCAATTTCGGAGTTTGAACGGGAAGATTGTATTAAATGATAAAGTGTCCCAGAACATCAATGAATTTATTAGTTACCTATTACTTATTAGTATGTACCTACTTCAAGTGTTTCTGTTCGTACGGTTTTTGTAAAACCATATTTTGATTACAAGTTTACAAATTAGTAATTACAATATAGTCTACACAGATTCCATCCAACGTTCTAGGCTCGATTATTGAGGTTAGGTTAGGTCTGGATATTTTATATTGTGACCTACTCGACATCTTATATTCTAATGTACAGTAGAACGGTACCCACTTTCCCGTTATTTAATATATAAAATAATAATATAATATTATTAATTAAAAACTAAAAAGATGGTCAAGTGGGTGTCACTCTGCTGTACAGTAGGTTATAAGTGGGTCATTGTCAGTCTTGTAAAGAATACTTTTATTTTGAACTCGGAATACATATTCGAATAAATTAGAACTAAGGTATTCAGAACACGTATTCGAATAGTTCTTAAAAATATATTCAGAATACATATTCGAATACTTTAAAAAGTATTCGAATATACTATTAGAATACTTTTTTTTACAACTAGTTTTTGTCAGTTTTTGAATGGTTGGTGATTAAAATGTACTAATTAATAATTAAAAATATATCGTAATTGTAAGTTATTTATAAATGTTGACCACATATTATGATACTGCCGATACAGGCCATACGGAATCGGGAATACAACACATTGGTGTCTATAAAAATAATCATATCATGGGCCAATATTATATTTTGTTCAAAGAATAAAATTAATGTTCATGATAAAATTATTTTTATGGATTGGAAAAAAGTATTTTTTTAATAAATAAAAAATACAAATAAAAGTATTCAGAATACGTATTTGAATACTTTTTAAGAAAAGTATTTAAAATAGTATTCAAATACTTTTATTAGAATACTTTACAAAACTGGTCATTGTAATGGATGGTGTTAAATATGAATTCAATGATAAACTATCTTTGTACAAGAAAAACTATTCTGAGGGAAGACGATCAGTCAGCCTAGGATATTAGTATATTACTAAGTATACCTATTTGATGAATGATGATATTATTGTGAATAAAGTAATTTGTATATAACCTATTTACGTGGAACCTTGTTTAAAATTTTCAATCTTTAGCTATAAAAGTTGAACATTTTATAAACAAAATACTTAATAATAATAAACTAAAATATAATTATTAAATTTTAAATTTGATAAATGTTGTCAAAATTGAAAATTCCAACCTTAAATGCTTATAAAAAAAAATAGTGCCTATGTATTTTTAATGTTTTTAAAACTACCATTTAAGCAATATATCAGGAGCCTTGTATTAAATTTTCACGCTTTTTACAAAACAAATAACATTTTATTGACAATTATGGAAAAAAAAAATAAAAACTGAAAATGCCCAAAAAGAGTCGAAATATTTTCAAAATTTGATGGTGTAAAAAAAAGCGATTATGAACATTTAGTTTGAATTTCTTGAAGAAATTTTTTTTTTTTATAAAGTTAGAAAAAGTTATGAAGAATCGTTTACTACATTTCAAAATCTTAGATTTAAAAAGAAAAATTTTATGAATTCTCAACTCAAAATAATTAGATAATTTTCGTGATTTTTCCCTATTTTGTTAACATTTGAATTTGAAATGCTTATAAAAAAGTACTGTGACTAAGGATTTTAAATAATTTCTAATGTCATTGTAACAATATAATGGGAGCCTTTTATTAAATTTTCAAACATTTTTATCCAAGAAGTAAAGTTTTATTGACATTCATAGAAAAAAACTAATAAAATTTGAAACTGAAAATTTCCCTATTAAGCAGTTCAAAACAAATCAAAATATCGTGTATAGAAAATGCTAATACAAACATTCAGTCAAAATTGCATGTATCTACGGACATTTTTTTTAACATACACCTAAAATCAAAATTGATTTTGAGTAAAAATCCCCGTTTTTCCTTAATTTTTCTTTTGTTTTTCACGAAGTTTTTGGAAATTACTAGGAATTTTACCTCCCCAATGCACCAATAATATTCACTTTAATATCGAACAAGATACTGAAGTTGAAAATCGAAGCATTATTTCAACTACATATCGTGTACAGTGTACACAGACAAAAAAATAAAAAATAAAAAAACACACATCATTGTAAAATTAATTAATTCATCGCTCCGCTCAGAATCTAAAATTATATTCTTTTATAAATTATTCAGTTTCAAATTATTTAATATTATGTTACAAAATTCAATGATCGTGACTAAAGTCTAAAGAAAATAAGCAAAAAACAAAAATTAACATTTATTTTATATTTTTCGGTCTCTAGAGACAGCTGTAACAATATTATTTAGTTGTCTCGTAGTCAGACTGTTAAGCTTTTACCCTACAGTGGCTTATATAGGGGGTGGACCTAGTAGGCTGCAGCCCCCCCCCGCCCCCCGAAATTACAGTGTTTTTAAATAGAACAACAATATATTTTATTAGGTACTATTATAAGTTATAATATTTCATAGCCTGTTGAAAAATAACAAATACGAATATATTTATAGAAACTGTTAAATATATAGCAGACAGTAGCCTCCAATTAATAGATCACTTGCTAGTTTCTATCTACTATAGCTCACCCCAAAAATTGTTTCTATATACGCCACTGCCCCCAGAGATTTATAAAAACCGTATAAAAAATTTAAAACCATACGTTTGGTAAATATATTACCTCTAAGTAAAGATATATCGTATGAATTAAATTATTTAGAGAAACTAGTTTTATTTCTATTCTTTGTATACGTTATGACTTAGTTACGAACTAGTTATGATTAATGTTTAAGCTTAAAGTATATACCTACAACTAATATGAAGGAGATACGATGTCCAGTTATTAAAAATACTACTTACTAGTTACTTGGGGACAAAAATATTTCACTACGTGATAATAACTGTGTAGTTTAGTAGGTATACCATTTAAAGTAACCACTGGCGTTGCCACCACAGCACCACACTATTCAACTCATCAACTAACTATACTACATGTTATTAAAATGAAATATTTCTTACCTGGTAGCTTATAAAATATGTTGACATGTTGACATGTTGTCTTTCTGAACTATTATCGGATGGAAAATAAAGGCCATTCAAAACTGTTGCCTCATTTTTAATTTAAATTATATAGCGTTTCACATTAGTATTGTAAATAAAAATATACAATGGGTTTTGTCTACACAATATTATAATATTACTTCTGTTCTTCCGTTATAAACTGTAACTGTATTTATGTAGAATGCGGCGCGGGTACATACTGTGGCCCACGAGAGAGTATTGTCGCTCGACGAAAACACGTTCGATTACGAGCATCGCCAGGTATTTGACATACACTAAATAGCCCAAAGTGGGGGAATGCACAAAACTGTAATACTCCCTCGTGGGCCGCAGTAGAGCCGTATGCCACGGTTTCAATCGGAACGAAAATAGAAATAGCCGATAACAAAATTAAAATGTGAATTTTCATTACTTTTTACTTTTTGGCATATACAATGTGTAGAATTACAGTGTTTGGAATTCATCATATCTATTATAATAATAATATGAATTTTTGTCTGTTTTCATACTGAAAGTTATATTTTCATATAAAGTAGTAACACATTACACATCAACATACTACTTTTATCGCCGGTAATGTTTTTTTCCCGGTCGTATTTAAATAATATGCTACTTTTTTCGTCGGAAACCTAGTTTTCGGAACATTTTATAAGTTATATTTTACAACCTCTTTAGCTGATATGATTGTTATTTTTTATTACATATATATATATATATATATATTAGGTATTCAGATTACTATAACATTATAATATTTAAAGTCTCAATGGAGAATCTTACAAAATATAATAAAACCAAAATATACAATTATAAAATTATAAATAAATTACAATAGATATATTATTTAGGTCTTTTAAATGTTAATCAATATGGCTAAATGGGTATTGAGCAATATGTATTCAACAATTATTATTTAATATTACTCACTGGAAGGTCTCTTTACATTGACCAACCAATAAGAAGGGCCCTTAGTTTGAAAATTTTTAAGGATAATTCTGAAAATACAAAACCAAACCACTCCAATTATGGTGCACACAGTCGTTTCTACGTAATAGGCGTTCACTATAACAACACAATCCCCTCCATTTGTTTTACACATCTATAATCAAGAAACAAAAGTTGTGAAGAATGCGTAATTACAAATTAAATAAAATAATATTTTTAATACTTATTTCAGTACTATTATACAATTCAAATCTAATAAAATTAAATAAATTAAAACGAAGACTGGAAAATTAAAACTATAATTTGAACATTTCAAAATTCAACACAACTATGGTCTGTTCACCGAGAGAACCCGAACTGACCAAAACTGGTGCCCCCGCGCAACACCCTGTCATTGGGGAACCAGTTTCAATAGCAAGGTGACGCGGGGGGATGTTGAGAATCGACGCATCTCACTGGACAGAGTAGATACCACGGTTTAAGATATATATTTAAGTATATCTTAAACCGTGGTAGATACTCTTTTTATCTTTTTTGTCAATTTATAATCTCGATAATTTTACAATTTTTATTGTATTGGCACATGAAATTCTCTAAAATGTTGAATAATTTTCTTATACTTGTGACTGTTACTTATCTTAAAACAACCACGTGAAAAAATATTATACCTACTTAATATTGAAAATTCAAATACAATCATCAACTAGTCTCTGACAAAAGTAAATAATTCATTTTTAAAAATGTCATCATATGCAAACATAATATAATGTTCATCATAATTATTATCATTCATTATTATTCAATAAATTATGTTTGTATTACTTACGTGTTTTAGATTTTCTGTAGAGCAACTATTCTGGTTATCTAAAGAACATTGTTTAAACGTTAGGACATCTACCATTCCAATGGCAACTGAAGACGACCATGCTCCTCCCAAATTTAAAAGTGTATTCAATAATGTCATGTAAGTACCACCAAAACGTGAATCACTTATTCGAGAAAAAAAAGATAATGTAGATACAGCCATAATGTTAGGTAAAATCTATACAAATTAAATCGTAATTACTGATATATAAAAAATGTTTCTTATGTGATATTAAAATTTATCACAACACTACAACAGTATATAAAGTAAAAATATTTTATTCAAACACCTATGAATTAATATAATCTAGTAATTACTTATTACGTACTCACCTTATGTATTGATAATATAAATACTAAAAGTGCATAGTAATATTCTGGAATATTAACAAACCCATTCATTGTTATCAATTTTGGTGTATAATAAATAAATAATACAAATGAAATATTCCAAAATAATCTGAAATTATATTTAAAACTAATTAAAGTAAAGATACTTATAATACAAATTTATATTATTATGTTTTATTTTTATAGAGTCTGGATAAAAGTACTTCTTTAAGAAGCCCAAAAATACAGACAGTAAAATAATGAGATTTAATAATTTAAATGTTAAAAATGTGGGCAAGTGGATGTCGAACTGCTGTACAGTAGGTTACAAGTGAGTCACTGTATAATGGATGGTATTAAATTTGAATTCAATGATATAATTTCATTGTATAAGAAAAACGATTCTGAGCGGAGACGGTATGTCAGTCTAGGTATAAGACATATACTATAATAATATACTTATTTATGGTATTAAAAAAAAATTGACCTATAATAGGTACCTATACTAATTTCTAAATTAATCATATCATAATATCCATTAAATGCTTATAACGCGTTATACTTATACATCACCAACAAACAGCGATAATATCATAGATATATATTAGTATACCTTATAAGTTTTAAGTACCCACGAATAATATTATACAATCATAACAAAATAACTAAAATAGTTATTCTAGGTTATTTAATATGTAATTTCGTCCAAATTGAACTTAAAATAATAAACTGTGTCTATGTATATATTTTAGATTTGTTGATAACAGAATTAACTACTAATGTGGAATCTTTTTTTAAATTTTTAAACCTTAAATATTATAGATTAAAAGTTGAACATTTTATAAATTTTTAACTACAAAATAATTATTCGATTTTAAATTTGATAAATTTTGTCAAAATTCGATCTTTAAATGCTTATAAAAAAAAATGTGCCTATGTATTTTTAATATTTTTCAATTGCTATTGTAACAATACATCAGGAGCCTTGTATTACATTTTTTACACTTTTCGGCCCAACAGATAAAACTTTATTGATATTCATAGAAAAAAAAAATAAAAATTGAAAACTGAAAATATCCGTAAACAGCTCAAAAAGAGTCAAAATATTTTCAAAATTGTACCAACTAGATTCACTTTCCTATCAGAAAAGATACTGTTGAAGAAAATCCAAGCACTTTTTCTGTCCTAAAAGGAGATGACAGACACAAAAAAAAATAAATAAACAAATAAATTAAAAAAATTAAAAAAAACACACACCATTGTAAATTCAATACATTCATCGTTCCACTCAGAATCTAAAATATAATAGGTAGGTATAAAATGTTATTTAAACGGTAATTCAATAAACTTGCCCAACTTATTATTTTCTGTATTGACGCAGATACTGTTACTCAGAATCTGATTTTTGAAATTTTGAGTTATGTTTTTTTTTTTTAAATTAATTAAATAAGGCTAACAATGTGACGTTAGTTATACAATATAGGTTCTTAAATTAATCTTAAATTCGTATGTAATTTATAATATAGTTTTAGGATTGGGAACTATAATGTGCCTAAAATAAATACAATTTATTATTGAACTATCATTCAATAGTTTCTCGTAATTTTATAAATAATATCTTAATTTTAAAATTGAAAATTGAAAATCGACTTCCTAACACGCCTAGATATTTTATTAAAGTATTCAAATATAAATATTATATAAATACGTGTGCTGCAATCCGCTTACTAAAATATGTTGACACGACTGTTTCATCAATAATAAAATATAATAATTAACTTTCAATGTAAGTTTAGTTGGAAACAATAATATGACACACTACAATATGTAACCATGAATCATAATAGTATGTATGGTTATAGTATTATTTGCTATTTAATTGTAATATATAATATTTAGACTTAAAATAAAACACGAGACAACTATAATGATAACGGACCCGGGACCATATTATGGAATGTGGGTGGTCCGATATGCATATATACATACGCACTAGGTACATATATACATTATACTCACTCTTCTTACATACAGGCTACACATGAAAGTATGAAACGCATAAATAATATTCTACACATCCCCGATCAACGTTTAGTGGATTACACAATCGGCAGCGCCAGTAAACACCGTATATTATAAAATCGTGAACTCATTCTTACGTATATACATAAGTGTATATAGATGTATAAATTATATATAATATATAGTATTTAGACGTATATACTATATAAAATATATAGTATTTAGACGTATATACTATATATAATATATATATATATTATATACTTCAAGACCCCTTTGATAATTCTCCGATCAAGACGCTCGGTTAACAACAAAGCAATAAATTACCAGCGGTCGCACCACACAAAATAAGAAAATATATCAATACTTTAATATCACGTATTAATCGATGCACATCAGAAGAAAGGATCACACCAAAATCGGCAAAATCTCATTATATAAGAGCCATACGGAATCGACTCACCAGCCAGTGTCATTCCAGAGAAGTCTTAATACACATTGTCCACGCCAGTCAACATCGCGACACACACTTACAAATCATTCGTAGGATATGCTCATATATTACCTTTTGCTTTATGAACTTATATGTATGTTGTATCATTCGAATATTCAGGTATGGTCACCATAGGCGCACATAGGGGGGTGCTTGGGGGTGCTTAGCACCCCCAAGCTTCAAACTAGCACCCTCAGTTTATTTCAGTATTTCACCAATCATTTATAAACTATCGTGGTTTATTGGTTCGGAATTTTTCTTTTCATTACAAATATTGACAACTGTTTACGAATTCACGAATTCATTTTTTTTTTTTTTGTCTGTCATCATCTTTTAGGACAGTAAAAGTGCTTGGATTTTCTTCAACAATATCTTTTCTGATAGGAAAGTGAATCTAGTTGGTACTTTGGGGGGGTCAAAAGCAAAAATTTCACAGTAGTTTTCAAAAGCGCCGTGAAAAACAAAAGAAAAATTAAGGAAAACCGGGAATTTTTACGCAAAATCTGTTTTCGAGAAAATTGATTTTGGTTTTTGGTGTAACTTTAAAACAAATGACCGTAGATATATGAAATTTTCACTGGTTATTTATATTTCCATTTTCTATACATGATAAAATTTTCTAAATATTTTGAGTTATTTTGAGCTTTTTACGGACATTTTTAGTTTCCATTTTTTTTAGTTTTTTTTTTTCTATAAGTATCAATAACATTTTATTTGTTGGGTATAAGAGCTTAAACATTTAATAGAAGGCTCCTAATATATTGTTTCAAAGACAGATGAAAAATATTAAAAATCCTTACTCACAGTTTTTTGTTATAAGCATTTAAATTCCAAATATTAACAAAATACTACAAAATGACCAAAATTTGCAAATTTTTTCGAGTTAGAAATTCATAAAAATTTTTCTTTTTAAATCTAAGATATGAAAATGTAATGCAAGATTCCTCATAAGTTTGTCTACCTTTATCAAAAAAAAAATGTCCACAAGAATCTCAAATTAAATTTTTATCAACGTTTGAAATTCATATTTTTACAACATTTGATATTCACTCGATTTCTCATGTAACGATTTTCTAATTTTGTTGTAATTAAAAAACGAATGACTATAGATACTTGAAAATTTTACTAAATTTTTATATTAGCATTTCCTATACACCAAATAGTTTTGAAAATATTTTGATTCTTTTTGAGCTATTTACGGACATTTTCAGTTTTCAATTTTTTTAATTTTTTTTTCTATTCATATCAATAAAATTTTATTTGTATGGTAAAAAAGCTTGAAAATTGAATGCAAAGCTCCTGATATATTGTTACATTAACACTTGAAAAATATTAAAAATACATAGGCCCAATTTTTTTTATAATTATTTAAAATTCAAATTTTGACAAAATTTATCACATTTAAAATTTAATAATAATTGTATAGTTAAAAATTTATAAAATGTTCAACTTTTATAGCTAATGATTGAAAATTTAAAACAAGATTCTACTTAAATAGGTTATATATAAATTGCTTTATTCACCTTAGTATCATCAAATATACTTAGTAATATCATAGGCTGACTTAACCGTCTTCGCTCAGAATCGTTTTTCTTATACAATGATGTTAGTATATCATTGAATTCAAATTTAATACCATCGATTATACAGTGACCCACTTGTACCCTACTGTACAGCAGAGCACCTTTTTTTGTTTATCAAACTTAAATAACTTTTATTTTGGTTTTGATATCGGAAATATAAAAACAAAGTTACAGAGTAAATTTTCTCATTTTTCTAGTGTGAACATTTAGTTTTTTAGCTTAGAGTAGAGCCTGAATGTTTTTTATACCCGTGCAAAACAGTTTTGCCTATGTTGTACCTATACGTCTGTAATACGAAGACAACACATGTGGGTGTACCTAGCGTCTTCTTTACAATCATACAGACTATTTGATACATTGCACTTTAGAAATTATTGTATACACTGTACAAATTAAATCTAATGCAATGCAAAAATATAAGGATTAGGGGGGTGTGGGGGGCTTTGCCCCCCACGGATCTGTGAACCATAAATTATCCCAGCACCCCCTAAATTAACACCCTATGTGCGCCTATGATGGTCACTAAGTTAGTTGTCTCATATTGCTAAATTAAATATCTTGTTAATTATTATCCTCCATCATCATACCTTCAATTTAAATAATCGATTGCTAGTGTAATATGATTAGGACATTATAATTATATTGTATCTCATTGCAAATAAACTGTTCACAAGTTAGGTTATATTCGGTTCGTTATCATTGTCCGTAAGAGGTCCTATATGGTGACGGCGAATGCAACAAATCTCCAATGATGTGTAAAAACAATTTCCGCAATTAAATAATAATCACATTACACTACAATTTGCAAGTAAAGCTAAAAAATTTAAATTAGAATCGATACGACTATATGAGTAATATTCGAATCATATAAACATCACCCACGATAGATAAGTTAGAACAAAATCATCTTAGTTCATTGTTACAAATTAGAGTCACTCGGTACATACTTAGAATATACAGGGATGGGCAAGATACTCAAAAATCAGTATCGAGATAGTAGATACTAGATACCTGGATTTGGAGTATCGAGATACTAGATACTCGATACTTGGCTCTAGAGTATCGCGATACTAGATACTCGATACTTGGCTTTGGACTATCGCGATACAAGATACTCGATACTCGATACTCAATACATTTTAATAAAATTAGTCACTGGATTTTTAAAAATTATGTTTATTATTGTGGGTATGGCCACTTCATTAAGAGGACGCCTCACCCGCATGTGTTGTCACCGTCTTACACACATACGACATAGCAAATGTTCGTTGGCTAGTTTCAATATGATATTGTCAGTTTTTATATAAGAGTGAATTGACCTATTATCAAACTTTTAGGTAACAACATTATCTGTGTTCTCTCGTTGGTTTTTTACGATATTTTAATTTTTAAGTGAATTATGGGTATGTAAAGTATTCATATTCTAAAATGTTCATAACTCACTTAAAAATTAAAATATCGTAAAAAACCAACGAGAGAACACAGATAATGTTGTTACCTAAAAGTTTGATAGTAGGTTGATTCACTCTAATATCAAAACTGACAATACCCTATTGAAACTAGCAAACGAAAATTTGCCATGTCGTACGTGTGTAAGACTGAGACAACACATCCGGGTGAGACCTCCTCTTAAGTAATTAGAATGAAAAATAAAATAAAAAACATTGACACTTTCAGTAATAATAATACATTAGTCACTTTTCAAAAGTGGTTTCTGACTAGTAAAAATAATCGTTAACAATTAATTTTTCAAAGTATCGCGTTAATGTATCGAGTATCTTTCGATTAAATTAATTCATGAAATACTCGATACATTGACTAAAAATGTATCGTGATACAAGATACTCGATACTTCATATAATTGTATCGAGATACAAGATACAAGATACAAATGTATCTAAGATACGTATCTTAGATACTTGTATCGAAGATACTGCCCAACCCTGAGAATATATCAGTCAAAGTGATATCGATCATCGAACACCGACCAGGAGAAATACAATTCAATCGCAGAAGGCAATCGTCACAACCCACACAAGAGGTAAGTGATTTGACATAATATATTATAATAACGCAGATAATATAAATAACATTAGGTAGGTATAATACGGTAGTAGTAAGATCTTACGCGGATAAACGAGCAATAAAATAATATGATCTTACACGTTTTTCAAATATGTAAACACACACACACACACACACACACACACACACACCCATACATACCCACAGTCGCTCTTACTAACACAAACAAACCTACTATAACACATTGTCACAGCGGGGGTATTGAACAGGTCATCAACTCCGCGTGTTGATTGTACACCAAGTATTATTTTATCACACCATATTTAATATAATATACTCACTTGCACCTAAAATCACCACTTTTCCCTACCGCGTATTTTCCCCTTACTACATAATAATATAGTGTTTAAATATTAACACCATCTAGAATTGAATATTGAAATTATGATATACTTTGAAGCGTATAATATGATCATTATTAATCAAATTCAATTTGTAGTAGGTATTTGCTAATGATTAATGCGTTCTGGATAAAGTTATTTTTAATTTACGACTCTACATAACGTAGATATTTAGGTACAGTGGAACCTCTATAAGTCAAAATGCAAGGGGAATTCAAGTTTTTTGACTTACTAAGATTATGTTAGATTTGGTGAGATTAGGCCTAATCTAACAGTAAGTTAGTAAGTTAAAAAAATTTAATTTCACTCACATTTCGACTTATCGAGGTTCGGCTGTATTTAATTTAACCATAAAAAGCATCCCGCCTAAAATTTAAAGTTGATGAAAAAGCAAATAACTAAGAATATACTATATAGTTTTACTTGATTAGTTTTTAAATTTTAACTAGTTCTATATTGATTTTGTTACCTTTAGAGTTGGTACAATGCTAATAGCACATGCCCCTCGATATTATAAGTATTTAGGTTTATCTACCTGATGGTTGTTGCTGTTAGGTATATGTTCAAAGGTTTTGGACCAGAAGTGTATTTCGCTACAACAAGTGGCACAGTAATTTTTACAACTAAAATTGTTGTGTTTATAACCATGATGTTCTCTTTTGGTACTCCTGCATCAATGAGCTTTAAAACAGCCAGACTGTCAGTTGCAGCAAATCCAATCTTTAATAATATACACAACACACATTGATACTTAAAAATTAAAATTAAATTGTATTACCTACACAGGCACATTGATTTCATAAAATATTTTAATAGCTATCATTCTAACTAAACTTCAAAGGTCCTATACGTAAATCAATCTGATGTAAGACTTGAAATAAATATATTTACACATATCGTGACAATATAAGAGAAAGAGTTATTCAATTAATTATAGAAGAAGCAAGTAGAATATTTAAAAAACCAATGTTTATTATAAATTTTAAACTAATCAGTATATGTAGGGTGGCCAGTCGGCCAGATGTATTGTTTGAATGGGTGAGTTCCGTATTTAAATACAATTAATTGTCCCATTTAACAGTTTTTTTTAATCAATGAAAATTTGTCATATTTGTAATTTTGAATTTTGGTTACAGTTTTTGCTTTATTTACATTTGTAAGACGGAGACCACACATGTGGATGTAGCATTTTTGTAAGTGTTTTATATCTGACCACCATAAGTTTATGCAAATAATAATGTTTTGATTAGGTATGAGGTATCTAAATATATTTACCCTTGCTGTCAACAATGTTAGTGCCAATATTTGAATACTAGGTAGTTTTAAAATGTCCCATAGTAGTAAATAGTTTTGAATAATGTTGAGTTTTACATGGTCGTCCTCTAATCTACTATCTTTTTCTTTTTTAAAAATTGCAATCAATGTAGTTATTAATATAAAAAGTATGCCCAAGATATAGAATAAACCTGTAAAAATTAAGAATTAGTAAATATTTTATATTTTGACAGTAATTTATTTATGTTATTACATTGAAAGCAGATTTATTGTATACCAAACTGTGTTTTACTCTCTTACTTTTCATAGTGAACAATCCTCCCACATCTGGACTAATCCGTAAGTACTTGTTGCTGAAGTCTTCCGACGTCAACAAGACGAAAAACAAATAACTCATCATCATGCCCAACACTAGACCGGTTGAATTGCATGTAGATGCATAGCCTACGTTATTCCTGTGTGATATCAAAATGCAACACAGGTATTATTTATGACGTTATACTAATTCGAAATAATAAAAAAAGTTGACAGTAACACTTTCTTTTTGAGCATTGTCAGTGACCAACCGTCGACGACTATGTCTAGAGTGGAGGCCAAGAAGTTTGTAAAGAAAAATACGGATACCAATTTAAGTATGTCCGGCTTTTGAGTTTCTGGCAACCATTCGTCAATATTGCCGGCCATATAAATGAAGCATGCCCCTGTTCGACAGAAACGGTTTTAAATACCGACATCACGGTCCTCTGCTTTATACTTTGTATTAAAATACGTTAATGGACTTATTTAAAAAATATATTAAGTTATAGCCCATACATTCGTATGGAGTTTTTGAAAAGTTTGGGTTCGTGAAATATATATAGGTTATAACAATTAACAATACGCTTACAATATTGCAGCCGACATACAAAAAACATGAGTTGATTTAGAACGATACTCCGTCGTTTGAATAAACGTGCGTAGTAATGCAGACATTAATATTTAGTCACGCACCCATTAAATATTGAACTGGTATGAGCCATGATTTTCGTCTTCCCATATTTTGTACGTATAGCGAGTCTATCAAAGGGGCCCATATCAATTTTAAGCTATCCGGCCATGCAACTAAACTGAATAGAGCCTGGAACAAAACATGATCACGTTTATGTTATAAGAAGCACAGTGATGTATACAATTTCTTAGATTTGGATACAAGTCAATATTAAACATATTTTATATTGTACATTAATAATGGCACGGGTACCTACGCAATTATTAATTTGAAATCAGATATTTACTTGATCATTGTAAGACACATTTTTGTTGCTTTGCAAAATTATCGGCATTGCTGATGCTAAACCAAACGGTATGCCTTGCATCGTATACAGCAACAATAATAGGAAAAAATTCAACCAATCTCCTTTCAAATTTGGCTTCTCGACGGAATTCGAATCATCAACTACTGCCACTGCAGTGAGGTTTTCTAGTTCGTCTTCCAGCTGCGGTACCGTCATGTTTACTGCTAAGTCTTCACTATTCACACACTTGACACACTATATAGAGTTAGACCCATCACGCACATTAACTAAAAATAACAAAAATAATAAAAAGTATTTATAGCGATCACTAGTGTGTTCGTTTTTATACAGAAGTAAAACAGTGACATGCAAATTACACAAAAAAATGTCTAAAATTTCCCCATTAATACACAGAAATGGCAATATTATGTTAATCAGGTATATTACAACCATAAGCTGGTTTAATTTAATTATTGTTTTAATGATTTTAATGTCAATTAATGATTATTATGGGTTAGATTTTATTACAAATATGAAATAAATTATACGACGAATTATTTTTTATTTTATTGTAAATTTGTATAAAAGATGGACCATTGTACACATAGATTTTTTAAGGAAATCGGTGGTGGTGTATTTATGTGGAGTTTAGTATAGGTAATATTTAAAGCGTGCACGTGCATGACTTGCGACTTTGTGTGCAGAAAATTATTATTATCTATTCGTATATCCACAATACATCGTGCCATACTTACTCGTACGTGCAAGCCACCTCAAGCATGTCGCATCACTAAGTACAGTGCTTCATATTGCTAAAAGTATGTTTTTTTTAGTCAATCCTACCGATCAACCCAATAGTACAATAATGCTTCTGATAACTGATCTGGATTCGTTAAAGAGTGACAAGTGAAAAATGTATTCTTTAAATTATAATTAAATATTAAATTATTTTAAACAGAGCTGTTAAAAACTATTTTTTCAAAATTAAATTTAAAAAAAAATATTTATTTAAAGATATTTTAGGGCGTATAGAATGGTCGGGTGACGTCATTTGTAAGCCGGTCCACAGTGGTATAATAAAGACAATTTTAGGTGGCCAAAAGTACTATTTTTAAAACTAAAAAATGAATCCTTTTTTTATCAATAATTTATCTTTACAATATTCTGACGCTAAATATAAAATTTCAAATGAACTAGCGTAACGTACAGTCGACATGTAGAGATGTTTGTAAAAACATCTACATTGTTTGATTGTAGACTTTTACACATATTATTCTATTTAATTTTCTTATTTCAACATACAATTTTAATTTTATTTATACAGTTATTGTAATGTCCTAAATGTTATAAAGACATATTATGTTTTACTTTACTTAATATTAATTTTAGTATTTGCTACATAATGTTGTCAAAATATTAAGTGTTGTATTGTTTTTAGATTCTGAGCGGAGCGATGAATGTATTGATTTTACAATGATGTGTGTGTTATTTTTTTTTTTTTTTTGTCTATTATCACCTTTTATTACAGTAAAAATGACGTACATTACCCTGGCCCCCTCATTAAACTTTTTACAAAAAAAGTCTCGAATTAGCACGCCATTAGCATATATTTGCACGACTATTTTTAGAATTTGCACGACATTTTTTTACGAGTTATTTATAAAAAACTATGGGGGGCTGGCGTAACGTTACCCCAGCCCCCCACAAGTGAAATAATCACTTTTTTACAATTTTTTTTTATCAAACATTAGCACGTCATTAGCATGCATTAGCATGCGTTTGCACAACTGTCGCTGAACCCGAAACTTTAAGATTTTCCCGGGAAAACCAGTTTTACACTTTCAGGCATTACCCCAGCCCCCCCACCTATTTGTTATAGGACTATTTCTAATATTGTCTCATCAAAAACTCATAAGTAAAATGGATGCATATGAATCTTGTAAAGTACTTGAGTTAACTGTAAAAGTATTCAACTACCTACTTTTTAAGTAACCAATAGTACGTATTTTTAATACTTTTGAAAAAAGTACTTGAAAAAATTATGTACTGTTGTATAATTTAACTACAAATTGGTGTTAGACATAGACATTCATTGTCATTTTAAATTTTAAATGAGTGATTTGTAGTTTTCGCCAATACCATTCTTCGAGGTAAGTATTTTTTACACATAATATATTAATATCATAATCAATACTTACATTTGATTTAATTTACATTAACATTGAACACGATTAGCATGCATATTTTAAATTGTACATTACACTCAAATTCTAACATTTTATATTGAACCAATAGGTATTATAATTTTATCATATCAAATATTTATCATGTTAATTTAAAAAAAAAAAAAAAAACGTTTCACGGGACACGCGTATGGGACGAATTCCCTTTCGTATGCAGGTTTGGCGTAATTAATCATTAACGTCAGACTCTCATTCTCTCTACCCACCGCTCTCTTTAATTTTGATTATTTATGAAATAAATAACTATATTCATAAATTTATTTGCAATATATTATGTATATTTATTTATTTGTTTTTAAAAGATTGTTTTTAATAAATTTTGTGTTTTTATTATTTTTTATTTCAATATTACAATATTACTCATAGGTTAGGTACTTTGGTAGAAACGGTTATGAACATAACAATGAAACGTAATTACGTAATTAATGGTTTAGCATATTTTAGAAGTATATCAATATTATAATTATTATTTTTCATAAGAACAATTCAATCATTGAAATTATAGGTCTATTATGGTAACTGAAGTAAGATATTATGTGAGTTTGTGATTTGATATTTTGCAAATATCTAGAAAAATCAGTGTCATTAGTAGTATTATGTCGTGTTGTAGATTCTGATGGATCTTGTTAACATTATGCAAACCAATTTTTTCATAGAGAAATTGTTTTAATATTAAAATCTCCTGTCAAAATTAGCTTAACTTATCATAATTCTTACGTTAAATGTTTGTCTCCGATGGTTTAAGGGGCCTCGCAATGGCATTGATTTAAGGAGAATCATTTAGGCAATTTCTAATCTCGTTGTCGCTACCCGAGATCTATGTGTTAGTCGTAAATGATTATTAGTGTGTGTGGCGTCCATGCGGGTCAATTGTAGCTCTCGCACGCACTCGCACACACATGTCAATATATAATAATATTGTGATCATGAAAAAATGCTTATTTTTCACTTAAACATACGATTCTAATTCCAACAGTACGTCGCAACGATTACCTCAATTTTCATTCTGACAAAATATTCTTATTTTCCACAACATGTACGAGGGATCGATCGAGGCACATTTTTAAAATTGTATTTAGTTAATTAAATATTTAAGTTGGAAATTCTGTATTTTTTTTTTTGATTTTTTTACAATTTTTATTGCAATTTAAATTACAAAAATTAAAAATGTGGCTCGATCGTTCCCTTGTATATATTACGGACAATCAGAATATATTTTCAGAATGAAAATCGTGATAATTGTCGACACGTATCGTTGGAATTAGAAACAGTAGTTTTTGACAAAAAAAAAGACTTGGTAGTGAGGCCCCTTAATAAACATATATCAATAATTACATTGTATTGAAGTTATGATTATAATATAGTATATGTAAGTACATGTACTTTATATTAAAACGTTTTAAGTAGTTTTTTGTTGTTTAATATTTATATCAAGTAATAATAATAATTTACTGCATTATATCATAATATACCAACATAAATAATAAAAATAAACGGGCCCGAAATCCAGTCGCGATGCTGCAGGTCGATTAGTAATAATATGATGGTTTGCTAGCTGGCTACTAATAAACGATGTTTGTTTTAATTTAACGGCGACGGCCTAGGACGAAATTCGGAATCAGCTCACTTGCAATTTAATATTCTGACTATACCTACACACGTACAATTTACCTGTGAAAATGGCTGAATTGCATACTACCAAAACCCAAAAAATCGAGAAACCCGTAGAGGACGTCATGAGGAACATCATCAATAACATCAATAGTATGACATTATGGAAGCAGAACTCAGCGTATTCGACAACTACCGAGAAGAGCCTACGGTTTCGGATTTGGCGGGCCTGTTGTACTATGCGACCCAGTTCGCGGCCGGCGACTCGTCGGAAACCATTCAACCGGACGACGATTCCAGTCTGACTGGACCGGTTGAACGGATCGGAGACGACGTGGACGTCATGCCAGCTGTGCAGGCGCCTGTGGAAGGGCCCGGTGACGAGGCGGAGGAGTTCGTCACACCGGCCAGGGGAGCTGAGGTCAGGAACAGCATCGGAGACTTGATCGGCTGGCTGGACCCGGGGGCAACGCTAGCAAAACGCGCAGGTCCGCCCAGACGGACGGCGGCGAGGATCGCGTCCGCTGCGTGGACAGGTATCACCCAGGCCGCACGCGTTTTCTGCTGTTGTTCCCCGAAGTGAAACCGTCCGAGAGTTCCCCCCTGGCCGAGGGCAGCGGACAAGGCGAGGTGATGAAGCGGGGTCGAGGTTTAGGTACGTTTATCCTGTGTGGTCCCCTGTCACATGACTTGCCGGAAGACGTCCAAGCCCGAAGGAGAATTATCAGAGAGTTCGAAACTAACCGCGTGGAGTTCATCCGCATGGTCGAGACGATTCTGTCGACCAAGGAAAAAGATGAACGCGAGGAACAGGCCCTGCGAAGGGCACAGGGGAACGTGCGACCGCCCTGATGGAGAACGAAACATCCAAAGCGGTGGACTCCGGTCGGAACGCCAATCGGATGACAGGCACACGAATTCAAGGGCGGCGGACTCCGGTCGGCCCGAGAAGGTCAGAAAGAAGTCTTAATAGTTAATTGTTAATGCAAAACTTAAAATGCTTGAACGGGGTAAGTCGGGGAGCTGTCCCGTCTGCCTCCCATGTATATATTAATTTTTGATACCGTCAATAAACGATGGCGGCGCCGCGGAAGCAATGCGAAAGCAGATCCCACGGCGTCGTCGGTTAAAACAGGAAAAAAAAAAAAAAAAAGTATTGATTATGATATTAATATATTATGTGTAAAAAAACTTATCTCGAAGTATGGTAGGTATTGGTGAAAACTAAAAATCACTCATTTAGAATTTAAAATGACAATGAATGTCTATGTCTAACACCAATTCGTAGTTAAATTATACAACAGTAGGTACATACTTTGTTCAAGTACTTTTTTCCAAAGTATTAAAAATACGTACTATTGGTTACTTAAAAAGTAGGTAGTTGAATACTTTTACAGTTAACTCAAGTACTTTACAAGATTCATATGCGTCCATTTTACTTATGAGTTTTTGATGAGACAATATTAGAAATAGTCCTATAACAAATACCGTATGTAGTAAAAAAAAAAAAAAAACGGTGAAAAAGGTTTATTTCATATGCGAGGGGGGAAAACTAAAGTTGGCAGGGGTAAAGCGTGAAAGTTTAAAATCGTAAAGTTTCGCGTTCTGCGACAGTCGTGCAAATGCATGCTAATGGAGTGCTAATGTTTGGTAAAAAAAATTTGTAAAAAAGTGATTATTTCCTTTTTGTGGGGGGCTGGGGTAATGCCTGAAAGTGTAAAACTGGTTTTCCCGGGAAAATCTTAAAGTTTCGGGTTCAGCGACAGTCGTGCAAATGCAAAAATGTCGCAAATGTCGTGCAAATGACGTGCTAATGTTTGATAAAAAATACAGAAAATACAGAATCGATGGTCAAAATTTGTATTAGTTGCCCAGCAAATTTACTACCTCTACGTAATATAGAACACAACCACTCAGGTACCTTAATATCGATTCATATCAAGGCATCCAACTACCAGTGTCAAGCAGTACAGATTAATTAAAATCTACTCCATAAACTAAACATGAAATAAAACAATACTAATTTTAATAACAGCAAGTCTATAAATGTATCATTTGAGTAACATTTATTATTTATAACTTAAATAGGTACATATTCTACGTTAACATGAAAAAATGTATAGGTACACATAATACAATTTATAAACATGAGTTGTGCTTCATTGCACATTTGTACCTAATACAGTAATACTTATATTTATGTATTTAGTCATCGAATAAAACATTTATTCTATAGTTTTTTCACAACAAACATTTCACTCTATCATTATGAAATTATTTGAATAAATAAAATTAATTGTAGTTAAATCATATAAGTGATCATTCATATTATAACGATGATCATATTTCTGATGAGGTCAGTGGCGTAAAAATGAGGGGGGCGAGATAAATCCCCCCCAGGGCCAAAAAAAAATTTACAAAAATGTCTTGAGAATGTCATCATGTATATAAAATTAAAGATTTTGTAAGTTATAATGTAATCACAAAAATATTAATTTTTCGTCCGAGGAGGTAGAGATACAAATAAATGTTTATTATTTACATAAAAACTATTTTTGTGTGGATATAAATATTGTTTATCATTATTAGTAAATTGTCTCTGTGCTGCACCCGTGTGTATGTGTGTCTATTTTTGTAATAGCGTACCCGCATGGCGCATACGGCCTCATCGAAATATTATTTTAATTTATAACTTTATCCCTTATCTTTTGTTTATTTATATATATATTATTATAATAATATACACGATTTTCCAAATGTCCGACGTTCAGACGTTCAGTGTGACAGTGTCTAATTGTTCAGTGTACTCGTGACAATGTTTAGTGTACAGTCGTGACTCGTATTTCAAATTATATCAATCAAATATACTATCTGCAATACTGCAATAGTAATCTAAAATTTTAAGGTAAGTCAATTTTATGATTTAATATTTTTATACCCAGTCATAAAATATTCTTAATGCATTAATTGGTGAATTAGACGACATAATGTAACCTGCAAGTGAATGTACAAATAAGTAGGTAAACCGTAAACGTATTAACAGTGTTCTAAATACTTATACGTAAAACTGTAAAAGTGTTTCAGTATCTGAGTATTGATCTGGTATGCAAATACTTTTTTTTCTTAATATTTAAATGGTTAATGAGACAAGAAGTTTAATGGTTATACCTTATTACTTTGAACCTACTTATTAAAACTATTAATAATTTTTAAATGCATATTATATCCTATATTAATATATAATTGACTTGTTCAAAATAAAATATTTATGATTCGATGAAATGTCTATAATACTAAAGTTAAATCATGTTTAAAAATGCAATGGATGCTCTTTCTGTATGTAACAGAGTAATGTTTCCAAACGTGTTCAAACTTTTGCAAATATTAGCAACTCATCCGGTGTCGTCTGCTTCAAATGAAAGATCATTTTCTACCCTCAAGCGAATTAAAACTTATTTGAGGAACTCCAAATCTGAGGTATATATATCTTCATATGACAAAAGTATTAGACATTAATAACTGTTGAATTATACAATTTATATTAGTACTTAATTCAAATTTAATAAAACTTACTTTTTTAAAACAGGGAAGACTTAAAGGCTTAGCTTTGCTATCCATAAATCGTCATTACCAAATAACCGCAGACGAAGTTCTTATTGAGTTATCAAACAAGAAACGACGTTTGAAATTTTTGTTGTAGTATAAAATATAGTATAATATTCAATATGTCTATTTTTTAAGTTGTTTTACATTTTTTGATAAAAGTATTATTACAAAAATGAGTGTGAACTCTTTTAACAACAATGATCTTTCGTCTTTGATAAAATATATTGCATTGGGTGGAGCACTCTGATAAACATGTATAAATAATATTATTTAATCCCCCCCCCCCATAAGACAATTGAATGTACGTCACTGGATGAGGTAGTCAATATTTATTTCTTAGTGGCTTTAACTATGTCATATATCGTCTTACATATTATAAGTGATAACATCAAATATTAATACATAATTATAATAAATTATCAGTCTCAATAGAGAACTGATTAACGATTGTATTATTGATATAATTATAATAAATAATACTAAAATAATAAATAAATTACAAAAGATATTTAAAAACTCGAAATGTTCATTACTATGGCTAAATGGGCATATGACAATATACAAACATTTATTTCATTTTCATGGTTTCTTTATAATGACCAACCAATGTGAAGGGCACATAGCTTGAACATTTTAAAGGATCTTTCTGAGAATACAAAACCAAATGACTTAAAATGAAATCTCAAAAACCACAAATTTACGTTTGCTAAGATTTATAATGAATTCAATTTTAATGTTAAATTGAATTAATTTTCAAAATCTTAGTAATCATTAATATTTATTATATATAACTTATAATAGAACCTTGCAATTAAAATTGGTTAGTACTACCTATATACATTATACTGTAACGAAGTGAATGGCCCTAAATATGGGTAACCGGATAATAGTTATACATCTTATAGGTAATTAAAAATTCTTGATTCTATCATATATTAGATAGATCATAGATGAAACATTCCTAAAGAACCTAATAACAATATTATTGATATAATTATGTATAATACTGAAATAATAAATAAATTACAATAGACATTTAGGCCCTTGAAATGTTCATCACTATGGCTAAATGGGCATATGGCAATATACATTTATTTCATTTTCTTGCTCGCTTTATATCGACCAACCAATAAGAACGGTCCTTAGATTGAATATTTTTAAGGATTTTCCTAAATATACAAAACCAAATGATTCCGATAATGGTGCACGCAGCCGTTTCTACGTAATACCCGTTCACTATAACAACACAATCACCTCCAATTGTTTTACACATCTATAATCAAAAAAACAAAAATAGGAAAGAATGTAAATACAAATTGAAGAATTATTATTTCAAATATTTATTTCAACACAGTTAAAAACGTTTAAATATAAAAAAATATACTTAAAATTATACTTGTGGTTGTTAGTTGTTACCTATCATAAAACAATCACGTGCCCACAAAGTATACAGAACTCGACTTAATATTCAAAAATCTAAGTTTAAAAAATATAATATTCGACTAGTCTATGAAATGATTAAACAAAACATTTTTAAGATAGTGATCATAAATTATCATATAATATTCTTAATAATTAGCATTGCTTTTTGAAATTGACATTGCTTGTATTAATCAAAACATAATTATATTTTTATAACTTACGTTTTTTAGATTTTTTGTAGAGCAACTATTCTGGTGATCTAAAGAACATTGTTTAAACGTTAGGAAATCTACCATTCCAATGGCGACTGAAGACGACCATGCTCCTCCCAAACTTAAAAGTGTACCCAATAATGACATGTAAGTACCACCAAAACGGGAATCACTTATTTGAGAGAAAAAAACCAATGCAGATACAGTCATAGTGTTATCTAGAATCTATACAAATGAAAGCACAAAGTTATTGATACATAATTAATACATAATATATTTAAATTGTTCATAATAATCTCATAATACATTTTAGATTCTGAGCAGAGCGATGAATGTATTGGTTTTACAATGATGTGTGTATTTATATTTTTAATTTTTAATTTTTAATTTTTTTTGTCTGTCATCACGTTTTAGGACAGTAAAAGTGCTTGGATTTTCTTCATCAGTAGCTTTTTTGATAGGAAAGTGAATCTAGTTGGTACTTTGGGGGGGTCAAAAGTATAAATTTCCCAGAAATTTTCACAAGCGTCGGGAAAAACAACATAAAAATTAAGGAAAAACGGGAATTTTTACGCAAAATTGGTTTTCCAAAAAATAGATTTTGTTTATTGGTGCAACTCTAATACAAATTAACGTATATACATGAAATTTTCACTGGTTGTTTATATTTGCATTTTCTATACACGATAACATTTTCAAAATATTTTGATTTATTTTGAACTGTTTGGGGACATTTTCATTTTCCATTTTTTTTTAGTTTTTTTTCTAAAAATATCAATAAAATTTTATTTGATGGTTGCAAAAGCTTGAAAATTTAATAGAAGGCTCCTAATATATTGTTTCAAAGGCAGATGAAAAATATTAAAAATCCTTAGTCACAATTTTTTTTATAAGCATTTAAAGTTCAAAAATTGACAAAATATGGAAAAATCACGAAAATTAGCAAATTATTTTGAGTTAAGAATTCGTAAAAATTTTTCTTTTTAAATCTAAGAATTAAAAATGAAACACAAGATTCCTTATAAGATTATCTACCTTTATCAATAAAAAAATCTCTACCGGACAGTCAAATTAAATTTTTATGAGCGTTTGAAATTCAAATTTTTACAAAATTGAATATTCACTCGATTACTCATGTAGCGATTTCCTTATTTTGTTGTAATTCAAAAACGAATAACTGTAGATACATGAAAATTTCACTGAATGTTTATATTAGCATTTCCTATACACCATACAATTTTGAAAATATTTTGACTCTTTTTGAGCTGTTTACGGACATTTACGGCTTTCAATTTTTTTTAGTTTTTTTTTCTTTAAATATCAATAAAGTTTTATTTGTTGGGCCAAAAAGTGTAAAAATTTAATACAAGGCTCCTGATATATTGTTACAATAGCAGTTGAAAAATATTAAAAATACATAGCCACAGTTTTTTTTAATAAACATTTAAAGATCAAATTTTGACAAAATTTATCAAAATCTCAAAAATTATCAATCATTGAAATTAATAAATTATAAAATGTTCAGTTTTTATAGCTAAAGATTGCAAATTGAAAACAAAGGTTCTCATAAAGAGTTCATACTGTAACCAAAAAATCTAAAAAATATATGAACACAGTTATTTTTTACAGACATTTTAAATTCAAATTTGGACGAAATTACATATTAAAAAACAAAGAAAAAATATTTTAGTTATTTTGTTGTGATTGAATAATATTATTCGTGGGTACTTGAAACTTCTAAAGTGTACTATTATATATCTATGATAGTATCACGGTTTTTGTTGATGTATAACGCGTTATAAGTATCTAATGGATATTGTGATATGATTAATTTGGAATTTATTATAGGTACCTATTATAGGTCAATTTTTTGTTTAATACCATAGAAATGTATATAATATGTCTTATACATAGACTGACATACCGTCACCGCTCAGAATCGTTATTCTTATACAATGATATTATATCATTGAATTCAAATTAAATACAATCCATTATACAGTGACCCACTTGTAACCTACTGTACAGCAGAGCGACACCCACTTGCCCACCTTTTTTTTTTAATTGCTATTAAAATGTATGATAACAGTATACTTTAATTAACATTGTGTTAACTTGAATCAAATTACTCTTTATTAATTAATTAACAGTTTTACTCACATCGTGTATTGATAATATAAATACTAAAAGTGCATAGTAATATATTGGAACACTGACAGATCCATTTATTGTTATCAATGTCGGTGTATAATAAACAAAAGCCAAAAATGAAAGGTTCCAAAGTAATCTGAAATTATATTTAAAATCTCTTGAATTCAAAAATTATTTTAGTATGAATGTAATTTATTATGTTTAATTTGCATACAGATATGGTAGTGGTATTTGAGGTATTACAAGGTATGTATATATGGCATATGCGTTAGTAAAATGTATCAAGATTGTATTTTGGCCTGACTAAAATTTTTCTGCGATGGATAAATAATAGTTTATTTTTAATTGATCTTAAGTATATTTTCTACTAAATGGCCATGTGATATTATTATAAATGTATTATTAAATAAAATAAAAAAATATTTTCTTGTAATTTGTATTAAATATTTTATGTATATGAATGAGGATTTCAGGATTTATTTTATATATATTATTTTAGGTACAATAGGGTCTATAAAAGTTTTAATAATTAAATCAATAACTAAAGTAAGTAGTACACAATATTTATTTATTTTGGTATTTTTTGTAAAAAGAACTATTGCCACTACTATTTTCTAAACGGCGTCTATTAATTGTGAATATTGTCTAATATCCTGTTTAAAAATTATATAAAATTAATACATTTCTTTTATCCGAATCTATACTGCCAAACACAACAAAAATTATATGTAGTTTATTATTCATAGTAATTGGTAATACTCACCATGGTATTTCCTTCTTAATAAGATAATAAGGTATAACTTATAAGTTATGTAGGTTTATCTACCTGGCTGGTGCTGCTGTTAAGAATAAGTTCATCGGTTTTAGACCAGAAGTTTTTTTCGCTAAAATAAATGGCAAAATCATTTTTATAACTAAAATTGTTGAGTTTATAACCATTATGTTTTCTTTAGGTACTCCTGCATCAATGAGTTTTAAAATTGACACACTGTCTGTTGCAGCATATCCGATCTTTAATAATAAATACAATATGCACAATGTTACTGTTGGATAAGTTAATAAAAATTAGGTAAAATTTTAAAACATATAGATTTCATACTATGTATACTCATTCTAACGGAACGAGAACTTTAAAGGTTCAATACCTAAGTAATTATAATATTATGTAAGACTTGAGATAAAAGTACCTATATATGATAATAATAATACATTTCAACTTCTTCATATAATAAATTACAATTTTAAACGTATACATTAATTTGATACCTACCTACTCTCTATAAGCAATATAGCTTGTCGTGAGAGATGA